GGAATCAATTCAGGAGTGAAGAGTTGTCAAAGAAGCCATTTAAAGCTTGTTACAGGTGTGGAAAACCTGGCCACTTTAAACGAGATTGTCGGGTGAAAGTGGTGTGTGATCGTTGCGGAAAGCCAGGTCATATTAAGCCAAATTGTCGAGTCAAAATCCAGGAATCAAAAGCAAATGCTGTACATGAAAGTAAAAATTCTTCGGATCCAATTTGGGAATACTGCTTAACCACTAAGGTTCTTGATCAGCCAACAAACGTGACTTCAGCCGTATATCAAGATGATGTCTCTACAGATGATCAAAATTCTAATTCCACTACTTACTTCTGAATTTGATTCTCTCCAAATTCTGCTTCTGACTCTTTTTTTCTCCGATGCCAATTCTACTGCCCCTGGTGACCCTTCTGTTTATTTCACGACCTTGGATTTGGTATTCGACGAAAAATGAAGATTTCGAACTAACCTTTGACGATCTTGATGAGGTTGACGATTTCCTCATCTCCGAAGATTTGGATCAAACTACCAATTTGTTAGACTTGCAGGCTGACCGTGAAGCTTCTGGGGACATTGCTGTTCATGTTTTTCGTAAAGCTTGGAGTTACTAAGAAATAAACTTACATCGGAGGCTGTCAGAATTTAGTGCAACTTATTTCTTGTACAGTAGTATATTTTATTTTATTTTCAAGTTTGAGTTAGTTTATATTTTCCTTATTTCTAGGTATGAGCTAGTATCACCGATCTATTTAAAGGTAATCAATATCAATGAAGATTGAATTTTGAACTCAATTCTAAATATGTATTATTAGTAATAATATTTTCATATTTATTGACGCGGGTGAGCCTCAACAAATTGGATGGGCATCTATTGATATGGATGGGTATCTATTGACAGCCCAAACAGTAGTAGTTTAAGCCCACTAGCTAGGGCTTGGGTCAAGCACAGCCCCCAAGCCCTTTGGCATTTGTATACATCTAACCTAGTTTCCTTAAAAAGTATAGCCATGGCTGGATCTAAATTGGGAAGACCCACATTCATAAAGAATTAATTCATGAATTTTAAATATTTTAATTGGGCCATCAAACTGGCAAAAGAAAAAAAAAAAAAAAACCATATTTTCCCTCCCATGCAACTTATCATAGGCAATCGTGCATGCATTTGAGATACATATCAATCATCAATGCTTTAAAAGGAAGTAATGATTAAGCTTTTGGGAATGACCATAAAAAGTAAGCAGAAAAGGGAGCAGTCAAAGGGTTTGCATGTCATATATTATGTCCAAATCACCATCCCATGTTGCCACATATTCGTAACATATATATTAATTCGTATGCCTTTTGCCACCGTAGTTAACGTACTTTACTTGAAACAATTTTATATTAGGTGATCTACTAAGAATTTTCTTTAAAGTACATGTCAGTGAGGACAAAGTATACTAGAAAGTGAAGAGTAAGTAATGTGATCATGTCGCACGAAAATGTTGGGGCAATCAAACATCCAATAATAATGGTTATGAATTAATTTGTTTTTTTTTTTTTTTTTAGAATAGATGTCATTTGTTGATTGGATGAAAGGTAAGAGAGAGGTGTTTGGTTTTAGGTGCAAGTGGATTAGGTGGTGCCACATTGGAATAATTAGCTATCTTATTCATGGTGCTAAGAAGAGGTTGAACAAAAATTAAATGTGTTAATGAAAGAAAATGTAATTCAATGAATTTGCCCACAAAGAGATCTTGATCATGAGACAAATGCCTACGACTACTCCATGGTGTTTCCAATAATTAGAAACAACCCAAAATGAATTATTTATTTTATATGCTGATAACAATGTTTTTATTTAGTCTATCCTTTCATTGTGGAGAGTCCTAATTCTTAACATAATATCATAGTCATGCCCTAATCTTAGCCATATCAATAAAATCCTCAAATATCGAATAAAGAATTGTGAGCTTCGAAAGTGTAGTCAAAAGTGACTAAAGTGTCGAACAAAGGATGTACTTTGTTCCTTTGTTCGAGGGCTTCAGAGAAAGGAGTCGAACTTCGATTAAGAGGAGACTACTCGAGAGCTTCATAAGTCTCTGGGGAGGTTTATAGTGTACTTTGTTTGAGGGGAGAGTCGTAATTCCTAACATGAGTGAGAATTTGAATTTGACACGGCTTTGATTTTATTTACCCAAAACAGTACACTCAAGCCAATGGGTGCCCATAAAGTAGTAGAGTGCCCTAAACTAGAAACATACCTTAAATAAAGGAAAAAACATAATTAAAAAAAGACATCAACTGAGGACACAAGATTGATTTTACCCTTTATTTAATCAAACTGTCTGAAACCAAACCCAAGTCTCTGTTATTTTATTACTATCCAAATTTACATATTCTCATTCCATCGCAAAATGGGTCCCCATATTTACAATAAACTTTAAAACATTATAAAATGTAGCATTAAACAATCAAATTGAATTAAAATATTATGGCTACATACCTACTTGCATTTACTCCCAATTATTCCACAAACGTATATTTAAAAAGTCTCTGCCACAAAACTCCTTTAAAATATTCACCAAAATTCCTTCTTTCATCTATTTATTCTTCTCCATCGATCTCTCGATATGCCTCCATTTCATCAACAAAGGAGTATGGATTCTTTTCTCCCCCATATTTCATGTTTGAAAACGACTAGTTTAAGTCAACATGAACATAACTCAATTGACATTCGAATAGGTTAAATCTCAAGTATGAGTATAATTTTTAGAATATCTTACACTTACACACACATCCAATCACTTTTCTGATCATATTACAAATCGATGCATATGATGTAATTGAGTATGAATTGGTTTGGTGTCCAACGAAACATGATATGAAACAGAGTATTTAAAAACAAAACTCAATAAGACTATGTAACAGTCCAAGTCCACGGCTAACAAATATTATATGTTTTGGTCGGTTACGTATCGTCGTCAACCTTATAGTTTTAAAACGTGTCTACTATAGAGTGAGTCTAACCCTACTTTAACTACTGTCTCGCATTGTCTAGTAAGTGGACCTGATACCATTCGTAACAGCCCAAATTCATCGATAGTAAATATTGTGCACTTTGGTCTGTTATGTATCTACTATGGAGAGAGTATAGCCCTACCCCAACCAGTGTCTCGCATCGTCTAATAACTAAACCTGATACCATTTGTGACAGTGTAAGCTCACCGCTAGCTGATATTATCCGTTATGTATCGCGGTCAGCCTTACAGTTTTAAAACGTGTTTGTTAGGGAGAGGTTTCTATATTTTTATAAGAAATGTTTCGTTTCTCTCTCCAACAGATGTGTGATCTCACGAGCTATCTGATTAGCTTCGGCTTCCAACAAGAAAGAGAGAGAGTGGTATGGGAAAACAAATAGGGGGAGGTCCCCTAATAATAAACCATTGGAACTGTTGTAGAATAGAAGAAGCACGTTGTAGCGAAGGGGAAGTTTGAAGCCAAAGAAAGAGAGAAAGAAGGCAAAAGCACATGGGAACAGAGAAAGCAAGTGGAGGGAGAAGATTCAAAGCACTTTCTTCAATCCCTTCCCATATAAAAATTCAAAGAAACACAGGGCTTTGTGCATTGGGAGAGTGAAAGAGAAAGTGTACAACCTTCCCTTCTTTAAGGGCATGGATCCCCTAAACTTGCTGAAACCCACATGTGACCACCTTCACTACCATCCCATTTTCTAGGCCCCACAAACACTCCACATTTTAAATAACCCCTCAATTCAAACCCAATCCATTCAACTCCCCAAACCCTAATCCCCAAATTCCCTCTAAAACTTTTAACACTTACTTTATACTATATGCTCACTTACTTCATAATATAGGAGCTAATAAAATATAGTTTAGAAACAATATTATAGTATATGGTCATAATAATAAAGGAGGGTGGAATCATTTACTAGATGTAATATTTATAAGGTTTGCAGATCCCGAGGTACGTAGCCCTAGCTGGAAGAGATATATAACCAAAATTCTGCACCAAATTCCAAAGAAAATGAATGATTATATATTGATACAAATGTTGGTGTTTTGGATTGATTATGGGGTACCCCAAGTTTTGTGGTTATACAAATGAGGGCATGCCATATCATATTGGGATGGCCCCTCCTTTTTGGCCTTTCAACCTTTAAACTATTTGACACCAAATGATTGTGTGTTTGATGATGATCATCTTCTTTCTTCTCTTACTTTTTTTAATGCTCTTGGGCGGTTTACACATTGTTTTTCGATCTGTGTGCAAATTGGATACGTATTTCTATGATTTGTCAGAAGGGTTCAAATTTTTACCCTTTATTTTATGTGTCCCTTTTCCAATCCTTCCCACCTTGATATTTTGAGTTTCCACGCTCGTAAAAGAAACTCTCTTTTTAGATTGTGAAAATCTATTTCTATTGGACTCTTTTTAAAATTTTGAGATGAAATTTAGAAGGGAAATCCAAAAAAGACAATATCGACTAAATACAACTAGTTATCGAATGGTGTGAGACACCGATGGAAGTAGAGCTAGACCCTACCCATAATAGATGTGTTTTGAAATCGTGAAACTGAATGAGATATATAACGAGCTAAAACAGACAAGATTTTTTTTTACAAAAAAAACCATTATAGAGTTCATAAATTTGAGATTTTAAAACCCGTTATTTCACCCCCTCTACAAACTCTCAAATACAATTTGTAATTTTTTCAAGAAGTTATTGAGGGCTTTACATGTTAAATTATAGGTTTAGATGTGAACATGGTTGGAGGTAAAAAATTCAAATTCTTACCTCTAAAATATAAAAAACTTATTAGGGTATGAAATATATTTAATTTTGTGAAAATTATTGATGAACATGAATTGAATAGGTTTCCAAACATTGCATCTTAAATTTAAATTGGGTTGTTGATGATAAATTTAGCAATATTAATATACAAGGCTAGAAGAGTGAAAGGTATATAAAAAATATGATGTTATAAAATGGAGTGCATGTGATAGGCAAGTTAGAGAGATCCATATAATGGGTTGGGTCCAGGAAACCTCCCTTCCATGACAAAAACATACAGCAAATTCACACCCTTCTTCTTCTTCTTCTCCTTCTCTCTCTCTATACTTCAAATTCGCTGTCTTTCAGACTCCTCTGCCTCCACACTTCCATCCCAATTTAGTATGACTAAGATCTAGCATGCATTGCCATTCCCATGGCTTCCCCTCATCATTCCCATAGCTTCATGTTCCAATCACGCCCCGCCGACCACCACGACTACGCCCCCACTGCTTCCTTCAACAACATCCCCCTCTGCCCTCCTCACCTCTACTTCCACGGTTTCTCTCTCTCTCTTCTTCCTCCTCCTCCGCGGTTTCGAGTTCGAGTCATGTCAGTGACGTTTTTGCTTTCTTTTTTTGTTTTATTTTTCAGATGGGGTTGTCCCGTTGATGATGAAGAGATCCATGTCGTTTTCCGAAAACGGCTGCGAGGAAGTTAACGGAGACGAGGGGTTGTCGGACGACGGGTCGGCATTGGGAGAGAAAAAGAAGCGGCTTAATTTAGAGCAAGTGAAGGCTTTGGAGAAAAGCTTTGAGCTGGGAAATAAGCTCGAGCCTGAGCGAAAATTGCAGCTGGCTAAAGCTCTTGGGCTGCAGCCGAGACAGATTGCTATTTGGTTCCAAAACAGAAGAGCCAGGTGGAAGACCAAGCAATTGGAGAGAGATTATGACGTGTTGAAGAAACAGTTTGAAGCTCTTAAAGCCGACAATGATGTCCTTCAAGCTCAAAATACCAAACTCCATGCACAGGTAATAATAATAATAATAATACAATTCAAATTTTTTAAATTATATAATACTTTTAGATAGCTAAATTAATTGTAACCGGTTGGATTATTAATTTGTAATTAGCATTATTCTCTTAATTAATTTTGTGAATTTTCATAACAACCCTTGATTTTTCTCAAGTTGCTAGCATTAAAAACTAAAGACTCCGGCGAGGTAGCGGCGGGCGGCAGCGCCACCGTGAACTTAAAGAAAGAAAACGAACGCTGTTGGAGTAGTGACAATAGTTGTGACATCAACCTGGAGATCTCAAGAACACAAGCACCAATAACAAGTAACGGTAGCAGCGGCGGTAGAGGATGTTCCCAACCTGGAATCAAGGACCTGTTCCCGTCGGCAGCGTTCCGGTCCGCCGCCATTACGCAGCTCCTGCAACACGGGTCTTCTAGATCGACGGTCAATCATTCGCCCGTGATTCAAGAAGAAAGCTTCACTCAAATGTTCAATGGAATGGAAGCACAACCACAAACTACGGCAGCTGGGTTTTGGCCATGGAGTTCAGATCAAAATTCCCATTTTCATTAATGGATCATCACACAGTTTTTTTTTTTTTTTTTTTGGTTTTATTACAAAACAGTTAAATTTTTATTGAATTAGTTGGGTTGTATTATTACTATTGGGGATTTGGGATTAATTAATGATTGAGATTGTAATTAAAATTAAATGATAGTTTTTTTTTTTTTTTTTTTGGTTTTATTACAAAACAGTTAAATTTTTATTGAATTAGTTGGGTTGTATTATTACTATTGGGGATTTGGGATTAATTAATGATTGAGATTGTAATTAAAATTAAATGATAGTTTTTTTTTTTTTTTTTTTGGTTTTATTACAAAACAGTTAAATTTTTATTGAATTAGTTGGGTTGTATTATTACTATTGGGGATTTGGGATTAATTAATGATTGAGATTGTAATTAAAATTAAATGATAGTTTTTTTTTTTTTTTTTTTGGTTTTATTACAAAACAGTTAAATTTTTATTGAATTAGTTGGGTTGTATTATTACTATTGGGGATTTGGGATTAATTAATGATTGAGATTGTAATTAAAATTAAATGATAGTTTTTTTTTTTTTTTTTTTGGTTTTATTACAAAACAGTTAAATTTTTATTGAATTAGTTGGGTTGTATTATTACTATTGGGGATTTGGGATTAATTAATGATTGAGATTGTAATTAAAATTAAATGATAGTTTTTTTTTTTTTTTTTTTGGTTTTATTACAAAACAGTTAAATTTTTATTGAATTAGTTGGGTTGTATTATTACTATTGGGGATTTGGGATTAATTAATGATTGAGATTGTAATTAAAATTAAATGATAGTTTTTTTTTTTTTTTTTTTTTTTTTGTTATTCCATATATTTTGGTGGGGGATGGATCTGATGGGGAAAAAAGAGAGAAAGAGAAAACATGTGTGGGTTATTCAGTGGCTTTCCAGCTCTGGGCATGTGGGATGGGCTATGGAGTTTTTGTTTTTTTTCCTAATTTTTTTTTAAAAAAGATTCTCTTCTCTTCTTCTCTTCTTATAGTTTTTTTTTTTTAATCCACTATCCTTTTAAAAAAATAAAATAATCACTTTGTAGTAGAGTAAATGAGTAAATTATAATCTATCGAAGGTGAGATGTACTAGAACTCACGGAAGTAAAACCATAGGTTACCTTATAAATTATTGCTGACTAGCTAACTACTTTGGTTTGGTCTATAAGCAAGTCATAGCTTAAGTCGATGAAAAACAGTGTAGTTCAAAGTAATAAATATTAAGAAAGAAAGCATCGAAGTGGTCACAACCAAGTTAAATATTGAAACTATGAGTACCAAGTGATCTCACCCGTTTTTAATGTATATTCCCTTCATCTTTGGCAAAGATCTTTTAAAGATCATTGGGCTCTATTTGTAGAGTTAAAAGTGGTAGCCTAGCTAGCTTGACTTATCCAAGCATCTCTAAAGAGATTTAGTGTTGTTTTTCAAATCTAAGGACAAAGCATACACTTAGAATACACTTTTAAGAACACTTTGAAGTTAACTCGAACATTTTTTATTTACACTCTATCTCCATGATGCTTTTATTTACCTCAAGAGTTAGATTTTGTGTACTTTGCAATTCGATTGATCTTTGGTTTGGTCTAGCATTTCATCAAACTTACTTTATCTTCGTATGCTTTTATGTCAACTCGGTACCAAGTACGAAATTGGGAGACAAATCTACTTTACAAGATTGTCTGCTTTCTTTTTCCTCTTCCCTTTTTTTCTTTACGAGTGATAAATAATTCAACGAGATACACAATTGATACCGTTTGAATGAGACTGATCTTGAAATATGATGGTTAAAAAATACATAAAAGAACCAATAGTTAATGTAACGACTCCACCTGATGACTCAGACTATCCCTACAAATCAATACGAGTAATTTTAACTATAGAATTGTTTCAAACAAAGCACGTTTAATCATAAAGTTCTTATAATTTGGCCACTGAAAAGAAATGTGCATATTGTTGGTATAAGTATTAACTTTTCATATACCATTCATTTACTCGGATGTTAGAGTTAATATCTCTACCAGTTCGACTTGAATCCAAATTTCAAACCCGAGTACCATTGGGGAGTTTGGTGTGTTAAGAAGCATGAATTTCACACATTAGAGATGGATTAAGGTGATGGATGTGAACATATCTTTTATAGACCTAATTTGTTGAAAAACTTGATACGAAAGATCTGAAATAATTGTAGTTTGTTTGTCATTGGGTAATGTAATCATAGTTGGTGGCACCATTTTTTGAAATTTTTAATGGTATTGCTAATATGGAAGGCACATGATTAGAGATTTTAGTCAACATTAACAAATATTTTAAAACACGTCAACTTTGATCCTACTTCATTTACTTAAACAGGTAAATTAAGCAAACAGAATTTTAATTTTCTTCTGAAATAATTTCCTCCAATGCACAAAATAAAAATATCTTTTTGCTTTCCAATTTTTTTATTTACTATTTTCTTTTTAAATCTCATCATATAATCTTTAGTCTTTACCATATATATATATATATATATTTCCTTTTTTAAAAATCCAAAATAGTTTGAATATTTTAATATACACTTGAAAATATTAATTTATTTTGAAATCTCAGATTTGAGAAAATAAGAGACAAAAGAAAATGGTTGTCAAGTACGTACATTTATGTTATTCCCCTTAAATATAAAATAGAGAATAAAGATTTGTTTGAAAGGCATCTTTCAAAATAATTTTCTATTCTAAAAAAACAAAAATTATTTATTTATTTATTTTTATTGCAAATAACTCGTTAACTAGAATTTTCTTTCTTTCTTTTTTTTTTTTTTTTTTGGGAAAATAGCATTTAAAACGTATTTTAAAAAAAATAATATGTCCTAAATTTTAAAAACATTGTATTTTCTACGGAAAATTTGTCCATAAAATTTAAGTATGGTTTATATTTAATCTATCAATAATTTTTTTTATAAAAAAAATCATATTACTTTCATGCTAATTTAATCAAATTATTGGCGTTTGAATGTCCCATTATTGTGTTAATAATTGAAGTCCTTTTCCTTTGAAGGAGGAGTTTTAGTTTCATAATCTACCTCCCCATCAACCCCAACCATCTCTATCACTTCAATTTTGCTGCCTAAGGCTTGATGGGTCTTCTCTCGTGGGGTACTCCTCCAAGTGACAACTCTTATGTCTTTACACGCCAAAGAAGAGTTCTCGGGAGTCATTTCTATGATTGTTGTTCTCTCTATTTCATTCATAATGATGCTTTTTTCAATGTTCTTCGTACCACGATCTACAAATAAGACTATCGAAAATTGAGAAAGCGATTGTAACCATTTTTTTTTTTTTTAATGTTTTTCTTTTTTCCAGGCTCATGAGTCATTACACTAAAGGATTGAACTAAATAAGAAGCTATCGAGAGAGTACTAAATGCTGGCCGGATAAAGATAACCTATTTTCGCTGAGTCATTCATAAATCTCTAAAATTGGTTTTTTAAAATGTACATCTTACTTTGAATCTCATCTTTAAATCTTTACACGTTCTAACTTTGTTTTTTACGTTTTGAAAAATTTTAAGTCAAGTTGAGATAAAAGGATCGAATAATGATTATGCGATAAGATAATACAAAATAAGAAAATATCTTAATTTAAAAATTAGAAATAGGCTGCTAATGCTTGTTCTTATAAAATCTGTCTCTACATTTTTTATTGTATAATTAATAATTTTATGCACATCCATGTTAACAGAGTTAATTACATAATACTTGCACATGTACGAAGCAATGGGCTCAGTCCAGTACTTAAGATTTGGGCCATAGTTTGTGGGCCGCTGTAGCGGTTAAACGGACCAATCTACTGGGCCTCTCGACGAATTACCCGTTTTAATAATTTCATAATAGATGCACATGCGAAGCAATGGGCTCAGCCCAGTAAATATTTTGGGCCATAGTTTGTGGGCCGCTACAGCGATTAAACGGACCAATCTACTGGGCCTCTCAACGAATTCCTCGCCCTATTAATTACATAATAGTTGCACATGTGCAGAGCAATGGGCTCAGTCCAGTACGTAAGATTTGGGCCATAGTTTGTGGGCCGCTCTAGCGATTAAACGGACCAATCTACTGGGCCTCTGAATGAATTCCTCGCCCTATTAATTACATAAGAGTTGCACATGTGCAAAGCAATGGGCTCAGTCCAGTACGTAAGCTTTGGGCCATAGCTTGTGGGCCGCTGAGCGATTAAACGGACCAATCTACTGGGCCTCTCAACCAATTACCCGTCTTAATAATTACATAATAGTTGCACATGCGAAGCGATTAAACGGACCAATCTATAGGCCTCGAACGAATTACTCGCCCTACTAATTACATAATAGTTGCACATGTACGAATCAATGGGCTAAGCCCAGTAGTTAAGATTTGGGCCATAGTTTATGGGCCGCTGTAGCGATTAACCGGACCAATCTACTGGGCCTCTCATGGAACTACTCACCCTAAATTCCTCTATGCTTATACGACGTCGTTCTACGTAAAACAATCATGCTCGATGCTTCATCATCGTCTATGTCCTGAAGTTGCAGCATTTCGCTTCTGGTTCGTGGCCTTCGGGTTCGTCAGCTCCAAAACCCCAAAAATGGGTTTTCTTAGAAAAGCATCACAAGGCATTAGGCCTAAATGCTTCCATCTATGGCGAACTTCCTCTTTTCTTAGAGGCAGTATTGTAAATTCTAGGATTTGTCCTCATCGTTTTGCTTTGAGCCAAGCATTTTGCTCTCCTTCTCGACAGAAAAGCAAAGAAGTCGATATAGATTTGAGTCAGTACCCTCCCGAGCGGATTAGAAACTTTTCTATAATCGCTCATGTGGATCATGGCAAGTCTACACTGGCTGATCGTCTCTTGGAGCTCACTGGTACTATTAAGCGAGGCCATGGTCAGCCTCAATACCTCGATAAATTGCAGGTTCGTTGGCCATGTTACGGAACTATTATTAGATTGTGGTTACTTTCTTACTCTTTCTTATGGTCGCGAACTTTTGTAGAAGAAAATTGCGTTTGATTTACTTTGGTTATGTAATTTGACAAGAAATGGTGTACATTTGTGGTAGAGGAACCTAGGTTTAAACTATTGAGATAAGTCTATTATCACATTAACTAGGAAAAATTTAGTTTGCCAATGTCTGTTGAGGAATTAGGCATGCATTATATGATTGTTTGAAAGTTTTCTTATCATGGGGACTCCCCCCCCCTCTCTTTTCTTAGGCTGAAAATTTACCTTCTTTAGCTAGTCTGTGATCTTTTGCTATAAAAGTGATTGCCTTATTGGTTTTTCATTTTTTCTTTTTAACTTGATGAAGCCCAATTATTTAGGTGGAGAGGGAGAGGGGAATTACTGTTAAAGCTCAGACTGCAACCATGTTTCACAAGTATAATCCTGTGGGTGACAACGCTAGCGAACAGCCTCCTTTCTTGATAAACCTCATTGACACACCTGGCCATGTTGATTTCAGCTATGAAGTATCTAGATCCTTAGCAGCTTGCCAGGGTGCCCTTTTGGTTGTGGATGCTGCCCAAGGTGTTCAAGCACAAACAGTGGCTAATTTTTATCTAGCTTTTGAATCTAATTTAACAATTATACCAGTTATTAACAAAATTGACCAGCCAACTGCTGATCCTGATCGTGTTAAGGCTCAACTGAAATCAATGTTTGACCTTGATTCTGCACATGCTCTGTTGACATCTGCCAAAACAGGGCAAGGTCTTGAGCATGTTCTTCCTGCTATCATAGAGCGCATACCTCCACCTCCTGGAAAGAGTTCTTCACCTTTGCGAATGCTTTTATTAGATTCATACTATGATGAATACAAGGGAGTGATATGCCATGTTGCTGTTGTTGACGGTGTTCTGCGCAAGGGGGATAAGATTTCTTCTGCAGCCACTGGCCAAGCTTATGAAGTCTTGGATGTTGGGATCATGCATCCGGAACTTACTAGTACAGGAATTCTTCTTACTGGTCAAGTGGGCTATGTTGTGAGTGGAATGCGTTCTACTAAAGAAGCACGAATTGGTGATACACTTCATCAGAGTAAAACTGTTGTTGAACCCCTTCCTGGTAAGTTTTTCATTTTCTTTTTCAAAATGTTCTAGATCCGTTTTCAGTCCTGAAGAGAAATATATGTCAAAAGTAAAGCTGAGTTTTGGTTTAGAGTTTATTTCCAGTAGGTGGGTGATCCTTTCTAATAGATGCCAGTTAGTCGGACGGGCAATGGAATATATTTTACAAACACAAATTTCAGTAGGATTCTTCTATTTCTTGTTATGTTAGTGTATGTCATGGCCTGTCTCTCTCTTTCAATTCCTCTTAGTGACATTTTTCCTACCTGCAGGTTTTAGGCCTGTAAAACACATGGTTTTCTCTGGTCTATATCCAGCAGACGGGTCAGATTTTGATGCACTCAATCATGCAATAGAGAGACTTACATGTAATGATGCCAGTGTCTCTGTGACTAAGGAGACTAGCACAGCATTAGGGCTTGGTTTCAGGTATGGCATCCACTGACAGAATCGATTCCTCTTCTACTAAAATGGAATTATATTTGCTTTATTTGTCATATATTTGAATCCATCCTAATTGAGTCCTATACATAGGTGTGGTTTCTTAGGATTACTTCACATGGATGTTTTTCATCAGCGGCTTGAACAGGTGGCCTTTTTTTTTATTCATTATTGATGTACAATAGATAAAATTTAAGCCTATTTTTGTCATCAGATACTGAGAATCCATGTTGTTTCTAATGTATCACAGGAATATGGAGCTCATGTTATTTCTACTGTTCCAACAGTGCCTTACATTTTTGAGTACTCTGATGGAAGGTTATCTCAGTGGCATATTCCTTTTCAGTTTTTTTCTATGTTTCACTTTCTTTACCAAGAGCTAAATTAATATTTTCTTCCCCTTTAAGCAAAGCACAAGTTCAAAATCCTGCTGCATTGCCATCAAATCCCAATAAGCGAGTGACTGTTGGTTGGGAACCTACAGTATTGGCTACAATTATCTTTCCTAGTGAGTAAGCTCTCCTACTCTTTTCTATTCTTCTTCCCCTTTAGTGTATACATCAAAATCATTCAAAATTATTTCTTGTTTACTACAGATATGTTGGTGCTGTAATTACACTTTGTTCTGAGCGGAGGGGTCATCAGTTAGAGTACTCATTCATTGATAGGTAACGAAGAACTAGAATAGAGTACTTCTTGGTGCAATACAATTATCGTTATATCTGGTGCTACCATGTTACTGGAATAATGGAAACCTAATATATCATTTGGAAAATTATGCTTTTCACACTACAGAAATAGAACTTTTTTATGTTATGGTTCAGAGCGAGCTTTGCAATTGGTAAAAAGTTGGTTTCTGGCCTTTCACTGTTCATTTAATTACTTTAATGTTTTATAAAAAGTTGTTAAATGCTAAATATAAGTTGTATCTGTTAGAAAAACTTTTTGCAGTTTTTTATGATGTCAAGTTTTGGTGGTAATTTTAGACAATCATCGATTAAATATTGAATAACATTGTATGTGTTCATATCCATTTCCTTTGCAACTCATTTGACTTGATGAGAATATAATATAAAATATGCTAAACCTTTTTTTGGGGGTAAAAAATTGCTTGAATTTGATAAATGTACTCTGTACTGTGCCAAGTCTGAAGCCTGAAGATAAAGTACATACACGAAATGTTATGATTCCTATTTGAATGCTTGGTTCGTAAAGTAAATCATGTGGCAGCTGTTTCTCCGCATGTAACATCCACAATCTTGCGCTTCCTGCTATGAATTACTGATCTTCGACAAAAACTAAAATATTTCATTGTCATAAGAGTCACTTGAAATAAAATAAACTAGTTCTTTTTTTCTTCTTTCCTCCATCGACATGAGTGCTTCTTTTACTGAAAAACTCGTTAACATGAATGCTTTCGTACTCTTAATTTATTAAAAATTTTATATCTTGTTTTTTATGTGTGGATCTTAATGGCCAATCATGTAAATTTTAATTCTTTCATGTTTTGTCCTGCAGTCAAAGGGCATTTATGAAGTATCGCTTACCGTTAAGGGAAATTGTTGTTGACTTCTACAATGAATTAAAGAGTATAACATCAGGATATGCATCATTTGATTACGAGGATTCAGAGTAAGTCTCTTGCCCTCTCTTTTCAATTTCGTTTATAAGCCTTAGCTCTTGAATCTCCTCAAGTTTGTCTGCACGTGCATAATGAAAGATGGTTAATTGTTGAAATTTGTAAAATTATCTTCTTATTCAGTATTAGTTGATGGTCAATATCTCTACCTAGTACGTATTTTCAGTTCTGTGGAAAACTTGATGCTAAGTAGTTTGTAAAAATGATAATGATTATTATTATTAAACGCTCTTCGGTGGCTGTGCAGTTATGATAAGTTTTTCAAGGTTATGTAATACAATTGCATCTTCCATATATTGATATATTGATCGGTGTGACTACCCCAGGTATCAGCAAGCAGATTTGGTGAAACTCGATATCCTATTGAACGGGCAGCCAGTTGATGCTATGGCAACCATTGTTCATAATTTAAAGGCACAAAGGGTGGGACGTGAATTGGTGGAAAAGCTGAAGAAATTCATCGACAGGTATGCGTTTTTTTTTTTTAAATTTATTTTCTTTGTGTTATTTTATTATTATTGTTATTTTATTTTATTTTTTTACATGAGTTGTTTTTATGCTGAACAGGCAAATGTTTGAGATAACAATACAAGCTGCGATCGGATCTAAGATCATTGCAAGAGAAACGTAATGGTCTTATTTTATTTGTTATCACTAGAAGGTTTTTACTCAAAGATTTTTATTACATACTCAAAATTTGAGTGGCACTAAATCTTGAAGCCAGACTATTTTCAGTACAAGACGGTTACATGCTCACTGGTATCCTTCAAATTTTATTCATACTGAACTTTTTATGTGGATTTTAGGATCTCGGCTATGAGGAAAAACGTTCTTGCAAAGTGTTATGGTGGGGATGTTACTCGGAAGAGGAAGCTGTTGGAGAAACAAAAGGAAGGGAAAAAACGAATGAAACGTGTTGGCTCTGTTGATATTCCTCAGGAAGCATTTCATGAAATTCTGAAGGTCTCATAGGGGGGATAATTCCAGTAAATTAATGGACCATACTTTTTACCGGTACGGTTCTCATTTATCTACATGAATCATACTTAGAACTCATTCACTCGTTGTCAATTATAATCATGACAAATAACTTTATGGTTTTCCAGTGGCAGTTTGTTAAAGAATATCTCAGTGAACGTGCTCAAGAGTATACCATATGCTTTAGTCTTAAGAGACCTCCCATTCTGCTATCTGAAGTTATGCATGCATAATCTTATATTGTTTTGCAATTCCGAATGATCTGTCCTGGCAACCCATAAATGGTAGTTATCTTGTAACATCCGATGATGCCAAGGTCAGAAGATTGTTAGTGTACTAGAATAGTCTCGATTAGAGTCCTCTGTTTTAGGGGTGCAGTTTATCATTATTTATTTTTCCTTCCTCTCGTGTTGTATGCTTCAAATATTTTCTTACATAGGTAGTTCAATAAACTAATTAGGGATTCAAACATGTTTATAGTTAATCGGCATTTAGTTTTGATGTTTTTTTTGACAATCAAGACTAATCTACTCTTTTTATTTTGACTTTGCACTACTTTACATGATATCATTAATATGATGCAACTTTCTTTCACCATTCCTACTATCTTAGTGATTATATAATATGGTTGACATAATGTAGCTTTCTTTCATCATTCCCTTCACGAGAGTAATTATTTAATATCATTAGCACAACTTAGCCCATGTGTGTTTATATCATGAGTTTATATTAGAGAAAATGTCAAAAAAGTATCTATAAAATGTGTATCTAATGATTACCAAAATGATAACACCCAATAATGAGTTTTCTCAATTGGCCAAACACCATTTTTTAGTTCTTATGCAAATAGATTGTCCACCCAGACTTGATCTAAATAACCTGCAAGTGCATAAATATAGTAACGAAGCAATTGCAATGTATGCAATCAGTATCGAACTTCATCTCGAGTCAATATAACATTGATACGAAAAATGAAATCACGAACACAACTGATTGATGATAGTTACAGCAAACAAATAGGATTTACAGATTAGCTTCATAATAAGACAAAACGCTGTTCAAATCTACCATTGTTCTCTTTTTCTTATCTACTTCTTTCATCACTTCAACTCTCAATCAATGGCATAAAAACACAGTCCAAATCAACCTTCCTTTCACTTCATCTCCTATCTCCTCTCCTCCATATCCCACCCAAACTCTAAAAAACGAAAAAGGAAAGAATAGATGGACAAAAGGGAAGAAGTCTTTTCAAGGCTCTAATATGAACATAAAGTCAACTGTATAGACAAGAGGCTAAACCATCCTATGTGCTAATTGACTTTGATTATGCTTTAACAAATAAGTGTTAGATTCAAGGCACTAGCTCGAGTTGGTTATTGGGGTTGTCTCCTGTCAGGTTTTGGTGACTGCTGAGGATAATTATATGGAGAAGCATGAGGACCATTTGGACTTGATAAGCTTCTAATGTGCTGCCCGTTCCTTGCCACCAACATCGACTGGGTACGAACGACACTTTTAGCATTGGGATTGGACCTGGCACGGTCTGCTTGCATGGTTTGGAAGTAATAGGAAGAACTAGCCATGTCCTTGAGGTTTGGCAAAGGTTTTAAAGTTTCAACCACTTCACTCATCACAGGTCTGACTTTAGGATCTCTACTAAGGCAGTGAGCTGCAAGTTCCGCAGCTTTTTGTGCACCTTTGATCGAGAAGTGACATTCAAGGCGGGGATCTATCAGCCGGTAGAACTTCCTCTTGTCTACAAGTAGGGGTCTAGCCCATTCCACAAGGTTGTGCTCCCCATTCGGTCTATTTTTATCCATTGATCTTCGACCCGTTAGCATTTCGAGCAAGACAACTCCAAAACTGTACACATCGCTTTTTGATGTCAAATGCCCTATGGAATTCAATAATATTGGATTTTAGATTCATGATGAATAAAATACATGTATGATTTTTGTACATGTTTATATGCCAACGAAGAAATACTAGCATCAAAGTGCTCACAACAAAAATGAATGAAATCAAACCTACCAGTCATCACATATTCTGGAGCTGCGTAACCATAGGTTCCCATAACCCGAGTTGAAACATGAGTTTTGTCACCCTCAGGACCATCTTTTGCAAGTCCAAAATCCGAGAGTTTAGCGTTGTAATCCTAAAACAACGTTTTGAACCTTTTAAGAAAGCCTTGGGCTTGGGGATAACAAAATAAAGAAGCACATAATTTGGTACACATACCGCATCTAATAAAATATTAGACGTTTTAAAATCGCGATATATCACCGGTCTTCCAGCTTCTTCATGAAGAAAAGCAAGGCCTTTAGCAGCACCAAGTGCAATCTTCATTCTAATGGACCAAGGAAGTGGCAAGGGCCCTTCTGAGCAAAATATGGTAATTATCATCGAATATTAAACATGCGAAATCAATTGTAAAATATAAAAATATTAATACTCCTACAATTGAACAATTGAACAATGTGCTTTTAACACAAAATCCATGGTGTCTGCACCCATATGTGTATGGATATATATAACCCTTAACTTCAATAAGCTCAAACAGAGATAAATTCCTTCAAATAAGCTCAAACAGAGATAAATTCTAGAGATAATTCCTTATAAGGGTGTGAAAACCTCTCCTTAACAGACGCATTTTAAAACCTCGAGGGAAAACACAAAAGGGAAAGCCCAAAAAGGACAATATCTACTAGTCATGGACTTGGGCTTTTATAAATGATATCAGAGCCAGACACCAGGCAGTGTGCCAGCAAGGACGTTGGGCCCCCAAGGGAGTGGATTGTGAGATCCCACATCGGTTGGAGAGGAGAACGAAGCATTCCTTATAAGGGTGTGGAAACTTCTCCCTAGAAGACGCATTTTAAAACTTTGAGGGAAAGCCCAAAGAGGACAATATCTGCTGTTACAAGAAAAAGACCTCAATCCTATGCTTTTCTCTCCAAATATCCATCCAGATTTTGCTACCATCCTAAAAATTCTTTGATATCTAATCTTTCCAACCAATTATGAACAGGCAGTTGAAAGCTTTTCAAAACCGTTATGTGCACCAACTCTTCAAATGGTGATGTTCTAAGCCTTTCCTAGCACTAGCTTTCCCTATTTGTTTGGAATCCTTTCTTATGTCAAATATCAAATTATTTCAACAGTCAACTGATTGTCCTAACTTATCATTGATTTGACATCCTATAGAAACAATACATGACACCACAGTTCATATTTCAGTTAGAACAGCAAATGCCCATTCATTTGAGATACCGATACTATCCTACCAGAGTTTTAAGTCACGACCTTGACATTTGAAGCTCGAGATTCGTAGTGACTTCATTTTGTTTCCATCCAACATTTTTAGTGATTAGGGAGACATAAAATGGTTAAAAGGTTAAGTCACATACTTCTGAAGAGGTGGTTCTCCAAACTTCCACGAGGCATGAACTCGTAAACTAATAACCTTTGATCATCTTCAATGCAGCAACCAATCAATCTCACAAGATTAGAATGGTTGAGATCACCAAGGAAGTTAACTTCAGCCTGAAATGAAAAGCGGGAGTAAATTTTATCAAAGAAAAGAGGAGGATACCCCAAACGTCGGTGCGAGTGTGAGAGAGGTAGATGAAGAGTACTCATACCATCCACTCTTTATGACCTTGTAGACCGTCATGATTAAGAGTCTTGACTGCAACTGTAAGCCCAGTTCCCGGTTTAGCAGGAGCAGTTCCATTCTCCTCAATCCATCCTTTGAAAACACAACCAAAACCCCCCTCGCCAAGAAGGCTCTCAGGTCTGAAATTTCTTGTGGCTAACTTAAGCTCATTAAAAGTGAACTTACGAAGCCGAGAAGCAACCTTCAGCTCGGCACTAAGCTTGGGCGTGGACGAGCTACTTTCAGCATTATCAGTTGTCGCTGATGACCCCAATGCAGTAAACAGAATAACTTTCTTTTCATCGAGTTTAGATTTACTATCTGCTAGTTACACATAGTTAGAAGCAACATTTACAAATATATATCTAACAATAAGAATACCAATTAATCAGACTTTAGAAACATCTATCACTTATTCCCCTTGTTCTATGTGACCAGCACATTTGAATCCATAATGTCCTTGTTACCTTCTAAAAGTTAAGTCCTCACTCCCTGGTTTGTGTATTAAATGTATTGAAATCAAGTACAATATGCCAAAAGAACATTGCAGAGAAACATGAATATAGAAGCTTTTCAAAACTCAATAGAACTTGCAGACGCTTCACTTTCGAGTTAAATAATCTATCACTTTTAAAAGCTGGCATCTCAATTCACATAGTACTGCCAAGCTTTAAATACAGGATACGCTTAAAATTGCATTGCTAGGGAATTTAATTTAGTAAACCCGTGACCTAATCACCACTTGAACTTAGTTATTAGCTTCACATGCTCCAAATTCTATGATAACACAAAGTAAGAACAGCTCAAAGATGAGGATAATCTTCTCAATCCACTAAGAGACTAAATACGTTTCAGAATTATGTTAACTCATACAAACAAAAACCAAAAGAACAAGAAGTTTACCGCAATGGGTAGTGGTGCCACTAATGAAGCTATCGACCTTTGATCCACTTAAAGAACTATCAACCTTTGATCTAGAAGGAATGCAACTCCTAATGAACTTCAACCTAACCCAACATCCAGTCTCCTCCTTCTCCAACTCGTTTTCCTTCTTCTTCTTCTTCTTCTTCTTCTTCTCGCTAGCTGTTCTTGACTTGCCCTCAATCCACGTCTCGACCTTCGAGCCATTAGGTGCCAAACCCATATCGTCTAGTGTCTTAAAAACAGATTTCAATACCTCATAACCCAGAAACCTCGCCTTTTATGGAAACCCCACTTGAAAAAATCAGCTCATTAACAACAAATTTCAACCGGTGGATTACAGGAACCAATACCCAAATCACAAAAATAGCAAAAACGGAGGAAAAAAGGATCGATATAACAAATTGCCGAAGAACAGAAGGGGGAAATAAGAAAATAACTCAAGCACACTAAAAGGGAACTTAGTCAAAAGAGCCAAAGGTGGGGAAAGAGAGAGAAATAGGTGGGGAAAGGAGGCCGCTTCCGAAAGAGGAAAAGCGTCCCGACAACGGGCAGGTTGGGCAGTTCATGACAATGGGTGGCAGTTGGTCGGGCAAGAGAGAGAAAGAACCATTGTTAGAGTAACTAGGATATTCCTCATCAAATCAAGTGCTTATTTACAGAGAGAAATGTATTTGGACGCTCATTTTCAAATTGGGCACTTAGAAATTGGCATAGTGATATACTCCAAGGCACTATAGTCTTTGCTACATTATATTAAATACGGATAATGTATTTTATTTCTTCACAAATATATCACATATTTCATTTAATTTTAACTGAATATCTTATCTAATTAATTATGTTGGAATTGGTATTAAGGAAGATAATTATTTAAACATATTAGAAAGTGGGATATTATTATTGAGACGAATAAAGAATCTTTTTGTAAGAATAAATTATAGTTATTAATAACATTGATGTGATGGAAAAGTGTTAGTGATTAAGAAGGATGGCCACTTCGCATTTATGTGTCTATTGTGAAGGCCCAAACAGATATAAAATGTTTTTTTCTTATTTATTAAAATTAAAATAAATAAATAAATAAATAAAAAAGGAAAAAGATTGAGGAAGGAGTTGTTTAATATTTGAGGAAGGGAATCATGGGAGGTTTGGTGAGGTGGGAAAAAAAAAGGGTAAAATAAATTGGGAGTTTAAATTGACCTAACTAAAGCTTTTAATTTTTTTTTATATTATGAATCTCTTGATGAGGGAGCAATGGCCTCCCAATATTTTAAAAAAATTATAATATTAAATTGTATGAGAATAATGGCTCAAAATAATAATTATTAGTACCATGATAGATATTATATAGATTTATTATTATTATTATTATTATTATTATTATTTATTCTTTTCTGTGGTTTGTGTGAAACATACTATTGGTAGTGCAATGAGGAGCATAGCGTAGTTTGTGAGCAAGTGTTAAATTTATCCGTCGGTGAAGGCATCAAGGTAGAAAACAATATATTAGTTGCAACCTCTTAGCATACTTGAGCAAAAATGAGGGGAGATAACTATGGACTTCATTGTTGTATTATTAGTTAAGGACTATGGAGTAATTTGGGTTATTGTCGAATAAAAAAGAAAAAAAAAAAAAAAACTACTTAGGAAGTTAAACTATTATTTTGATAGTTGGGCACGATCATATTTGAAGAAGGTTATTAGGATCATGAAATAGCCGTTTATATAGTCTCCGTTTATATAGTCTCATATCCTTGTTTCATGTCTAACTTTTCTGAAGTTTTCAAAGAGACTTAGGCGCGCAGTTAAAGTTATGCATGACCTTTCATCCACCAACAAACAAGCAAACTGAACAAGTTAAAGTTATGCATAACCTTTCCTCCACCAACAAACAAGCAAACTGAACATCTAAATAAAATATTAGAAGATCGCTTGTACATTGAATTTTGAAGATAGTTGTGACTCTCACTTGCATTTGATTGAGTTAGTGTACAGTAACCATTGGATGACTATTTGCATGATGCCATTTGATGCACTTTACGAGGAGGTGCAAGTTCTTTGTGTACTGGATTAAGATGGGGAAATGGAAGTTGATAGACATAGTGTGGGTCCAAACCATAAATAAGACTATCTAGAGAATTCAGGCAAGGTGTGAACAATGCAAAATAAAATTATGCAATGTTAGACGTATAGACTTAAAGAAATGAGTGGGAATATAAGGGGTTCCCCAAGGTAGTACCTATCGAATAGCATTGTTCCTCAATGTTATGCCACTGAGTTGGGTTAGTAAAGGAGGTCAAGATGTTCCCCTCCACTAAAAATAAAATCACCAGAAGAAATTAAATCATATAATTGAAAGATTTGAAACAAAGATCAACTAATGCATTTTCAACCTCCATCCTTATATCTATTTGAAAGCAAAATGCTGTGCCTCATTCGAAATAGGTCTTAGTTTTTTCCAAGTTTATAAAATTCAGTCCCATAAATGATATTGCACATCACACATATTCCTGGACTTTATCTATTCACATCTAATGCCTACAGTTAAATTTTTGTCCTCAAGATAATTTATGGTTCCTCTTTTACTCTCTGTCCCCTGTGTCAAACAAAAAGAATAATAATAAAGTGGTGGGATTGGATTTTCAGGTCTCAATCCAGGTCAAAGTTCCCACGATCAAATATTTGCCAGGAAGATCCCCTGCCGATGGCGCTAGATATGTAATTTTCTTCCTGTCATCCACAAACAAATCCCATCGTTAGATTCAGAAGGTTACAATTTCAGACTTTCTTCACATGCTTTCATCCAAATCATAAACCTATTGTTTAGTTCAAAACCTTTGGATGTCGATATCAGTAATGTACACAAATCCAGCAACATTGCTGCACCCAAAGAGGAAAAAAATCGTTAACTCGTTGAGAAGGTCACATAACAGTTGTAGCCTTAGACCATGTTTTGAAATGGTTTCTAAGAGCTTAAAAAAATTTGTAGATGTAACAAGTGAACTGATGTGACTTTTTGCTTTAGTGACACAGATAAGTATGAACGAATCAGGTTTTCAAATGATGGGAAAATGAAAAGGGTTAGAATTAATCCTTATTTTAGAGTATAACCCATGGATTACACATTGGTCATGTCTTCTACTCTTTTTGGATAGCTTTATAAACGATGGAGACTGAAGAAAAGAAAAGCAATATTCCAAAAGAAATCACCTTGAGATAATTTCATCAGGTTCTTTAGCAAATGAAACAGCAAGAACCAAATGGAGCAAATCCCGATTGATATTGACAGGCACTAATCTTGTGGGATCTGCAGCTGGTTCTGCACCAATTGGCAGAGCTGACCGCGGGGCCTGTGGCCCACCTCCAATGCGATAAATAAACAGATCGCTGAAGTTTGCGATGTTTGAGTGGGGTGAGAGATCGTTTGCAGGTCCATAAAAATATTCCTGCAAAACATCACAGCATTTTGTAATAGCCTCGTGAGTTTCAAAATGGAATAGAAGGAATTTCGCGGCAAGGATTCAATTTAGTCGAATCATTTTAGTAAGACAAATTGCATCAAGACTGAGGATGCACTTCAGTTGCCATTGTCATTTGAAAAGGTCAAAACAAGAGGCTGTTAAAATAAAACCAATCATCCACCATTTATTCAACTTCCTTGCTTACCCTTATTCTGTAACTCCTGGCCTTTTGACGATATTTAGCGTTTCTGGATACAACACCACCGGACTTTTGAAGTTTCACAACATCTACGTTAGGCTTATTCTTTAGTACATCTTTGAGCATGCTCCAAAGCTTCTCCTGCAAAACAGTAAAATATTAAAAATATTAACAATCAATAATTCGATAAATTATTGTGCGTCTATTGCTTCAGAAGGTTGCCTTTTTTCAGGTACAATATTAGGAAGTTTTTTTTGATATTTATGGATAGAAGAGGATAAGGATTATAAATTAGTTTGAAGAAAATAAGAAAATATATCTAGAGCAAGTCTACTCATACTACAACTTTTGCTAGTTTAAACAGTGGGTTCTCTTCTAGCTTGTGCCTTGGCTTGACTTTTTTTAATACTCTTCTTGGTGTGTTCGATGATACACTTCTCTCCCTTGACACTCAACGTCCAATGAGCGCAACTTGCAGTCACCTTCCTTCTTCTTGCACTTTTGTAGGCCACAACTTGCTTTCTTCTAATACGGTTATGACACTCTCTCTCACTTAAATTAATTATTGTCCTCAACGACTCATTTGGGGGCAGAATCACATAGAGGGATTGACATAGTTTGCACATCTTTTGAACTTAGGAGTATATCACATCCATTTAGCCTTTATGTAATAATTACAATTGTACTTCATTTCCTTCTAACATCTGATACTAAGGGTTTATAATGTCATTATAATATTAAAACTGCTATATCATTGGTAAATAAACCAATACATAAAAGAAAGCACACGGAAAGAATACCTGAAGAGTTTTCAACAAATTCCAATTTCTAGTTAACCAAGTTTAATAATTGAGAGAAAAACCAAAAGAAGCAACTTACCTGACCCAAAACCAGGACAACATTAGCATTGAGTGTATCGATAGCATGTAGGAGCAGCTGCAGCAAGATAACAAACAAGAACAATGATACTTTACCAATTGTGGTAATGGAAATTAGCAACTGGAATGTGTAACATAATTGCATAATTTGTATAGAAGTTTCAGTACCTCATAGCCTACACCCTCGATCCATCCCATTGTGTTGATAACCATACCTGCAGCTCGGGATTCTGCATTGCCAGTAAATTGCCTCTCCAGCACTTGGGCAAGCTCCTTCACAAGCACTTTGTACAGATCAACGTTATTGCTGTTAAAGAACCTCAAACTTAGGGCATTGGAACACATTACATTTGGCTTAAAATGAAAATTTACTCTCAGCATTGCATATTGTTGGGAAAATGAACACTGTAAAAGTTCAAGAAGAATAAATACTGCAGCAGGTTTATTTACCTTGGAGTCGTGTGTCCATAAAAGTAAACCAGGGGCATTTCCAGTGGGATGCCTTCCACAGGATCAATGGGCAACTCGATAGGGGTAGCAGCAATGCACCCAGGAATTGTTATAGATCCTTGGCCAATATCCAAATCCACAAATGTAGGCTTCCAACCCTGTTTTGCAGCCCAACTAAGAAGCATCCTTGACAAGGTGCTCTTCCCTGAATCGGTAGGCCCCACAACGATGACCCTTGGACCCTAATGTAACCAAAAAAAAGAAAATTCTAAATATCAATATAGTTAATGAAATTATGTTCCTACTATGTAAGTTATTAGGGTGACCCGAACACAAGAATCCCACAAAACTGACTCTAGCCCACCAGAGCAAAAACTAGCTCAGTTGAGCATTTTGATTAGAAAAAAAAAAAAAGAAGAACCTGTGTAGCACCGGAGTCATCGGCTGATGAAGCTCTAGCACGGTTTCTTCGTGCTTCAAGAATGGCATGGACATTCACATAACCGATCATGGGTGTCTGTAAACAAACAATAGAGAATTGAATCTTAGTCATTGAACAAAAAATCTCTAGTGCAGAGAAGACCTGCCTTCATAGACTTAGATGTAAGCCATAGCCTATACAAACCAGCAAAATTTATACCTCATCTGCCGTATAATCAGTTTCAGTCGCACCATCCATTTCAAGCGTGGCTCCATACCAAGTGAAGACCTTTAACATCAAACTCAAAATTTCAAAATAATGGAAGATCAAAGCAGACCCATCCCCTTACTAAATACAATTTCAAACTAAACAGCATGCTTGTGATATGATTGACCAAGAAAGACCAAAACTCGAAAGAAATTTGAAATGAAATTCCGTTCTGAAACTTATATAAGTCAAATTGGGCAAGAAAGCCTCATTGACTAAATCTTACAGCAATTTTCAGCCTTGGTGGTAAAGTGAGCCATATTTCAGGAGGAAGCTCTGTGCCAAAGATCTCAGCATTACCAGAGAGCAGCCGTAGACGGAGAGGCGAGTCGTTTCCAACTTCAATCCTGAGCTCGCTCTCCCTATCCAACTTAACCTGTCTGACAGACGAAGTCGAAGCTGAGCCAGCCACCGTGGCAGGACCACCGTACGCCATGCCTCACCCAAATGCGAACTTTTTCGTTTTTCCCAAGCTAGATCAACAATTTTAGATGGTAGCCTTCTGGTTTGCACTCACTGTAACCATAAATAGCTACTCTATCCCTCGGATAACGTCACACAACGATTGAGCTGCACGAGGCGTCAATGGTTCATTGAATCAAGAAATCAAATTTCAAGAAAATAGTTGGCGGGTTTAGGGTTTTAGACCCTCAAAAATTAAAGCAGACAACAAAATAAAATATTGAAACAAAGAACAGAACTCTAGAGTTGAATTCATCCAATCAATTGCATACTCGACAAATTGACATTTATTAACTTACTTCACACATCAACATGAGTTTATACTGTAAATGTGAAGTGAGAAAATACACAATTTCTAAAGTGATGCGGAAAATTATTCGCAACGCAGCGAGACTAAATTCAAAATTTCGTAGTGGTCACCATTGACTCGTATTGCTACTTATACTAGCGAGTTAGTGTGCCCATTATGACTACTCTCACCTGAAGATAAATTATGGCTGGAATTTGGCTTTGGCTCTGCCACAAAATAGAAGGTAAAGAGAGAAAAAGACTGAGAAAGGCGATGACCCGAGGCAGTATCCAAGGGCGAGCTTGCGGCGGGAGGCGACGGCGTCCGACGATGTAAATGGAGACGGAGAGGTGCTGAAAATTGAATTGAGATTGACGAGGGTACGCTTCTAGTGGGGATTTTACAAAAAGCTTAAAATAAAACATAATATAAGCTATTATCTTATTATTATTATTTTTTAAAATAGATTACTTTATTATTTAATTATTCGTATTTTGTATCTTTTTTATATAAAAAAATTATATATATTTTTTACAAATGTTTTAAAAAAATAGATAATTAGTTTCAAGAAATACAAAGAGCCTCACTCCATAATTTCATGGAAGTTATATATATATATATATCTATATATATATATAAGCGCATCTTTCGAGTGTGTCAGCCAACCACCGTAACGGCTGCTGCCCCTGTGGCCATTCCTTCTCTCTGCCGAGCTACACAATGCTGCGACGCCTACCGTTACGAGCTCTCGCTCTCGCTCTCGCTCTCGCTCATCGTCTTCCAACCACACCCATTTCCGCTTCCAGTACTGCTTATTTTCATGGTCAATGTTCCCTTTTTTCGTCCTCTTCTTCCTCCCAGATCCCTGACAGTAATGTCATTCAGCGCTTGGGGCATGAAGAAGATGTTCTCAATCCACCCGTCTTTTGCCTGGTACCACCTGATTCACCTCTACCTATCTAATTTGCTTATGTGTTGCTTTTACATGTCGAGATGAATGAGACCGTCTTTTAGGTGGTGAATGGCAGAGCACTCTCACGAGCCTTCTTCGGACTCTGAGCTTGTCAAGCATCTCAAAGGCATTATCAAGGTTTGATTCTCTCTTTTTTCTTTCGTGTGCTTCTTGTGAGCTTCTTCTGCTTTGAACTTGTACATGAGGTGTGTGTAAAATGCCTCTGTAAGTTATCGCTTGTTTAGGATGCTACTTTATGAAGATACTTCTTGTTCGTCTTTTGTGAGGAAATTTCATTCAGTGATTCCATTTTATGAAATTGCTCTGAATTCTGTCTTTCAGTTTCATGCCAAATATGAGTGGGGATTTCTCTAAGTTTCTTGGAAATATGAGTAACTTAATCTGATCAGTTCTGAATTTCTATGCTAACCATAATTATTGTTCCAGTATTCACAATTTCTGCTGTGGCATTGACTAATTTCATGCGATTTCAAGAGAACGTGAATTCTAGGATTTAATGTGATCATGGATCTCAGTTTTTTCAAGCAGACATAGCTTATTTGAATCATTTTTATTGCATGCCATAAATTCTTTCTTATTAGCATGGCAGTATCGTGGAGGACCAATTTCAGTAGCCGAGTATATGGAAGAGGTTTTGACAAATCCTAAAGCTGGATTTTATATTTTGGGGCGGAAGGTGATTTTATAACATCTCCTGAAGTCAGCCAAATGTTTGGCGAGGTAATTGACCAGGATTTTTGGGTTCTCAATATCAAATTTCCTCTTCCATCATCTGTGAATATTGCATAGTCACACACAATGAAATACATATATATAAATCTTTAATTCTTGGAGGTTTCCTGTTGCATACGAATGTTTCTCTATACTGCTTGCCAATGTTAGATGGTTGGTGTCTGGGCCATGCGCCTTTGGGAGCAAATGGGACGACCAGACAAGGTAAATTTGGTAGAATTGGGTCCAGGAAGAGGAACTCTGATGGCTGATCTGCTACGTGTAAGGATTACATTTCTTAGTTTTAATTTCTGCTACGTGTAGGAGTATTTAGCTTCCTTTCATCAAGAAAAAACCTTTACCAATTCAGGGTGCTTCCAAACTCAGGAACTTCACCGATTCGTTGCATGTACACTTTGTAGAGTGTAGTCCAGCATTACAGAAGCTTCAGCACTCTGCGTTGAAATGTAGAGATGAAGATAATAAAGCTGATGGTGTTGAAAAAAGCAGTGTTAGCACATTGGTCGGAACCCCCGTGTCATGGCATCCCACATTGGAACAGGTCCCCTCAGGATGTGTGTATCTATCTCATTTCCCCTTTCTGTGCTATTTCTCTTTTTCTCTAAATATCCTTATTCTGAAATTATGATGTAACTGAATTTGTGTTCAACAATCTTTATCTCATAGCATGCAAGGCAACGGCAAATAATATTCCAAGAATGTTCAAAAGCATTGATTAGTGATTCTTGGTTTTTCTGATAGCTTGCTGAAATGCATTTCCCCTACTTTATCTCATAAGAACTGCAGTAGAAACCATCCTACTGTTGATAAGAAAATATATAGAAAGCTATTTTGTTCTTGCCTGGAGTATTTACGACGATCTGCTGGGCTGGATTCACATTTAATCGTTAGACATTTAATCCTCGCTTATATTTTGCTCTTCTACACTTCAGTTTCTCACTTCCTTTTCTCATTACTCTGTTTACTACTCTCTCTTCCAGTGCCAACAATCCTTATTGCTCACGAATTTTTTGATGCCCTACCAGTATACCAGTTTCAGGTTCGTATCCTTTGTACCAGTTGTTTTGGTATGAACATACATTGTATTGATTATAAGGGGTGAGTTGGCTAGGTTGTATTGGTTATAATAAATTGACATCAAGATATACTTGCAAATCAACACTTCACACAAATATGACAGTTGATTCTTCAACATTTTGCTTAACTAATATTGGATCTTGGTTCTTCAAACATCTCGTATATCTTTTCTATATCAATGAAACCAAGTTGTTTCTTGTTCAAGAAAAAATATTCGATCTTGGAAGCTTCCTCAGAAATCTATTCCAATAATCTCTCAAGGATCAAATCTGGAGACAAATTTTTTATGAAAGTTTTTTTTGTCTATTTCTTAGTAAATGAATATATGACAACACATGAAGCTGTACCTCCCTATGGATCACTTATCATAGGCATATCCATGTTCTGTATTCAAGTCTAGTAATTGTTCGTTTACATTGAAGAAGACCCTTCAATATTTTATTTATTTAATCAATCTTGAAATTGATATCTCACTCTGTCTAGAGGACTTCTCGTGGCTGGTGTGAAAAAATGGTAGACGTAGCAGAAGGTTCCAAGTAAGGATTAATGGTATTGTTCTGTGATTAGTCTCTTCGCAAATTTAATCTAATTTATTTGACAATTTTTGTACAAATCATATAGGCTTAAATTTGTTCCATCTCCCGAACCAACACCTGCAACTATATTTTTGATGAAACGCTACAAATACTCTTCAAATGAAGAGATCGCTAATGTTCATCAGATTGAGATTTGCCCCAAAGCATTGGAGTTGACTCAAGCTATTACACGTAGAATAAGTTCTGATGGAGGTGGCGCTCTTACTATTGATTATGGCCTTAATGGAGTTGTTTCAGATAGTCTGCAGGTTCGGGAAATTGCTATGATCAGTCATGAATTTTCTTTTGCTTCAGATGATTATACTGCTAAATGCCAAGTGCTAAGCAAACATTCATGGTGGCTGTTCGTAGAGTCTATTATCTGAGGTTTTATTTCTGTTAAATATACTATAATGCATTAATAAACTTGAAATGGTTTGATACCCTATGAACTTTTGCAGGCAATTCGAAAACACACGTTCGTTGACATCCTCGACAATCCCGGTTCTGCTGATCTGTGCATATGTTGATTTTTCTTCTATACGGCATGCTGCGGAGGAAATTTCAGGTGCTCATCTTTAGCAGATCACTAAATCATCAAGTTAAACATGATAATCAACTGAAGCTTTTGGCTTAATGGTGATTTAACACTAAGCTTAAAGAGAGTTTTCCAGGGCTTTCAAACTCCCCGGCACTCTGGTATACTCTCATTTTTACAATTAATGCAGTGCTCTCTCTAAAAAATTTGCTGCATTTCTGGGATGTAAAGAAGATCCTAGGTTGTTGGTTCTCATTTCTATTTTCCATTTTCTAAATTTATTCTTTGAAGGGAGGAGTAGAATCAGATTGATAATTTCTATCTTTACCACAGGAGATGTTGCTGTATACGGCCCAATGACTCAGTCTCAGTTTCTGGGTTCACTTGGCATCAACTCTCGAGTCCAGGCCTTGCTAGAAAACAGCACTGATGAGCAGGCCGAGTCTCTGAGGACTGGTTACTGGCGTTTAGTAGGTGAAGACAAGGCACCCTTCTGGGAAGGGCCTGACGAAGACGCACCCATAGGAATGGGCACGCGATACATGGCCATGGCAATTGTAAACAAGAAGCACAGTGTTCCAGTGCCATTTCTATGAAAGCTGATTGAAGTATTTATCATGAACCAATTTCAATACCTTGTATAGAATATCATTTCCTTAGAGAAAGGAAACAAACCAATATATAATCGATCAATTTTCTGCTGTGGGTTTAATTTATGTTCGTTTTGTAAAATGACGGACAAACTTCACCTAGCTCATCAATAAAGAGTTAATTATCTTAAAAAAAAATGATACTGAGTTTTTTTTTTTCATGGACGACAAAAGGATGTAAAATTACCTCTTCATCCTCACTCTTTGCATATATTCTCACCCTACGAATAACTTCGCAGTTTGCAGGCAATGATCGTGTAGCTACATGAAGGAAACCAAGGATGATCATAATATTCATTCTACATATTTTGAACTTAAGTATGGCAAATTACATGTTTATCAGGACTTTTATACATTCATATAAGTATAATGGATCTCCATTCTTCTCGCCGTGTGATTGATAACTACGTTGTGCAGATTCAAAAGCTTCTGTTCACTATACTGTGTATGACTGCTGAATTGTGTTGATATCAAGACCCTTCAACCTCACCACTGATTCAACGTGACCTTTCAATGTGTGCAGCTCTCTCAGCCTGCGCCGAAACAAGGTACATAAACAATAAAAAGTCTTGTTGTATTTATTCCTTCATTTCAAGTGTTAAGAAAGCATGCAGCACTTGTGGAAGCTGCAGGATTAAGCTGTGAAAATACAGTGGAATGCTCTCAAATAGACGTGGTTCATGTCAGTTCATTTTTAGCTTTATAATAAGTTTCTTGGAGGTAAAAATTTATTTAGAACTTTCAATTGATTTTACCTTGCAATTTCAGCTCGTCGTTTTGCTTCTTCAGCCATTTGATTGAGTTCTGTATAAGTTGTGCGCTCAGAAAACATCTTAGCCTCAGGTGGCTGCAGCCCATGAAGTGTCCTTTGCGCATGGGCCCATTTGAGCTCACGCTCTTCCTTCCCGAAATCCTTCTTCCTTGTAAAGGCAATCTGTAGAAGAAGCTCAGAATCAGAGAAAGTGGGAGTTCAACTAAGCATGCTGTTCAAACAGTGAGAAGGCATACCCTTTGTTCAATGACAAGGTCCCATGCCCTACCACTAATGGCATATCTGATTGCAAACTTGATTATGTCAAGTGGGAAATAAAAGACGAGGTTGTAAAGCCAAACCACACCAGCCCAGCCCCAGCCAATTCCTTCTATTGCAGCAAAACTCCAGTTTGCATAGACAGCAATCAGTGTAGCAATCTGTTCATTTATGATGATTAATGAATCAAGGATATCAAAAATCAGACCTCAAGATGTGGCTAGAATGTAACAGTTCACTCACCAGCTGAGCAACAATAAAAGCTGCAACCAATAACAGTCCAGGCCGCTCCACAAACGACCAACTCCGAGATCGTGTAACAAAGATGAGAGCCTGACTAATTGTACTCACTTGCAGGTATATTGCTGAAGCTAGCTTTCTGAAATCATCCTCATCCTTCTTCTGAAGGCTAGAAACCCCAAATGTACGCTGAAATCACATAGGAACATCAATGATTTTGACAATGGATGCTTGAAAAGTTGAAAGCATTGAAGTTCTAAAGAAATTCATGTTTGTCAAGGACCATCATTAAGAAGATATCAAGGAACAAGATTAGTATCCTACAGAAAGCTGAAAAGGCACTGAAAGTAAGTCATGAAATTATTTAACTTTTTGGTGCTTGATTTCTATTCTCAGCAGGAATATGTAACAGCCAAGCCCACCGCTAGCAAATATTGTCTTATATGGGCTTTTCCTTTCAGGCTTTTCCTCAAGGTTTTAAAACGCGTCTAGTAGAGAGAGGTTTCCACTCCCTTATAAGGAATGTTTCGTTCCCCTCTCTAACTTATGTAAGATCTCACAATCCACCTCCTTGAGGGCCCAGCGTCCTCACTGGCACATCGCCTGGTGTTTGACTCCGATACCATTTGTAACAGCCCAAACCCACTGCTAACAGATATCATCCTCTTTGGACTTTCCCTTTCAGGTTTCTCCTCAAGGTTTTTAAAACGCATCTACTAGGGAGAGATTTTCACACCCTTATAAGGAATGTTTTGTTCCCCTCTCCAACCGATGTGTCACACAATAACATGTGTATAATATTATCATCTCGCAGCTAGAGTTAAATACTTTGCTGACAGAACTGGGAAATAAGGTCTGTGTACTTGCATCTCTACTTCTAAATGTGACGGTTTCCATTATCTCATCAAAATTACTAAACTCACAGGAAAGAAGTCAGTTCTGTAAGCCGCCCAGAAGAAAATAACGGTCATCATAGCCAAATAACCTCCAAGAATAATTCCAGTGCCAAAAATCTCCGCCAGTTTCCAGCTATCTGGCAGAGGAGAAGGTTTCACTCTATCCTTTGATATTGTCATTATGGTACCTGGCAAGCATAAATATATTGTAGTTGAACACTAGGAACAAAAAAGAAGAAGGTAGAGCTACAGTATATCAATATATAAACAAAGTTATCTCTCTAAGTTTAAGAACCAAATACAAACCATCATTGAGGATAGCAATGATCAGGACCATGAAAGGTGGGAAGTCAAATTGATATATTAGGGCCAGCAACATGAATCCAAGCTGTCCAAGGAAAAGAAACCCCAAAACGATCAAGACGACACGTTAATAAGTAGGGTGATAAAGGATCCTGATAGAATTCATTTTTCTTGACAATAAGCTCTAAAACTTACCACAATACGGATCGTAATTGAAACTGCATAAATCTGCAACAGTAAATTGTTAAGATCAAATATGAATTTTGAAGATTGGAAATGGAATCAACAATATAATGAACTTTGTACTTAAAGCTCAATGTTCAAAGTATTACACTTGATATTACTTATCTAAGCTGTGAACGCAGGTGTACCGTGTAATTTTTCATCCTCTGGAAGATGGCTCTGCTGGTTAGAACAGCGCTTATGATAACACTAAGACCAGGCTCTGTAAGAACAATATCAGAAGCGCTACGAGCTGCGTCGGTTGCATCTGCAACTGCTATGCCAATATCGGCCTTTTTAAGTGCAGGAGCATCATTAACACCATCTCCAGTCATTCCACATATATGTTTTCGAGCTTGTAAACGTTTCACAATCTCATATTTGTGCTCTGTACAATGTAGCATTACAGTCAAGCAAATACTGATGGTAGATAACATTCTTAGTTGTAACTTGAACACTAGAAGTAACGTGTAAAGCATTCAATTGTCGTACGTTCCTGTGTCACTGTGTTGCGAGATTCGGTTTGTTGTAAGTTGATCACGATGAATTATAGTTTAAAAGAAATAAAATTACCAGGAAAAACGCCCGCAAATCCATCAGCCTTTTCAATTAAGTCATCAACAGGCAATCCAGAAATTGATTCATCTTTGTTCTGTCCTAATAATGCAGATGAAGGGTACATATTTGTTCCCATCCCGAGACGTCGTCCCGTTTCCTTTCCTATAGCCAGTTGATCACCTAAAATGACAAGGAACTTAAAAGTAAGTTTAGTTAATGACAACTTAAACAATTTTGTGGTAGATATTTTCAAAATTTAGTATAATAATTGGACCTGTGATCATTTTAACGTTTACACCAAGATTCAAAGCCCTCCTAATTGTCTCTGCACTATCATGTCTCGGCGGGTCAAACAGAGGCATTAGTCCAATGAACTGCCATGGCCCTCCATGACTCTCCTTCCTTCCTTCTGGAACTTCCTGTAAAATCGATTTATGATTCATTAGTAACTACACGAACGATAACGAGTCCGAACGAACTGAATGCAGAATCAAGAAAGACAGCTACTTGGTATGCCACTGCAAGAGATCGCAACCCTCGCTCCGCGAACTTGTCGATTATAGCATGGACTTTCCTTTCTATCTCTGATTTGTTGTGCGCAAGATTCAATATCTAATACAGAACGACATAAGTTTCAAGTATTAGCATCCTCAAAACAATGAAGAACTGAACAATATTGGTACATTATCCTACCTGCTCTGGAGCGCCTTTGCTGACCCGATGCATTTTCCCATCACGATCAATGTATGTCAGAGCAGTCCGCTTGTCAGTTGGGTTGAATGGAAGGAAGTGAACCTCTTGAATTCCTGCTCGTGCCTTTTTTATCGTATTTGTCGAAACAAGAATACAAATGAAAGTTTACATATCTTCTAGTTAAGTATTCATTCATTTCTTTTCAGTTCATAAATGAATGTGAATATCCAACTTCGATTTTATCGTATATGTCGAAACAATATTTTGAACATACCTCCTTTGGATCACTCAACATCCCTACAATAGCAGTATCGATTGCATCCTGATTTTCAACTCGGGAGGCTTGAGCTGCCATGAGGATAACGGTATCGACATCCACTCCCTTGGTGAAAACCTATTAAAAGAAAACATTAGTGAGTTAGAAGAATCAATATAGATGCATTACATATGTAAACATGAACTGTGGAATCTTCCATCAACCTCTATCAGAGTCTTATCAACAGTAAGCTTATTTAACGTCAGTGTTCCTGTTTTGTCGCTACAAAGCACGTCCATTCCAGCCATTTCTTCTATTGCCGTCATTCGTTTCGTGATAGCTCCCTGAGAAAGCCATCGAGATAAGTTGAAGTGATCGAACTTGGGCAGGTATTTAGCAACTAGAATTACCTACCTGTTGAGATAGACGATGTGATCCAATTGCCATCGTGACCGACAAAACAGTTGGCATAGCAATAGGAATTCCTCCAATGAGAAGAACAAGGAGATTGTCGATCCCGGGACGATATGCCCGATGTTGGATTGGGTACATGACGATAATCTCCACAATCATGCCCACAGCAATGGAACATATGCAGAAATTTCCAATAGCAGTCAAAACCTATTTAGCAATAGAATTGTTAGCAAGATTACTATCAATAACCAATAAGAGATTTGTATTCAAAATTGATCAAACAATCAACTATTACCTTTTGGAAATGACCCACTTGGTTTGTGGAGTCCACAAGATGAGCAGCTTTGCCAAAGAAGGTATGAACACCAGTAGCAATAACTACTGCTTCAATTTCTCCCTGTTTGCACGTCGACCCTGAATAGACGCTGTCGCCTGGGCCTTTAGTTACAGGTAGCGATTCTCCCGTGAGTGCAGACTACAAACTCGACAACGACACTCAAGTAAGTCACCACAAGAAAACTAAACGTCGTTTGAAAAGTTTTCGAAATACCAGGAAAAGAGAGACTAGAAATGGTTATAACGTTACTTGATCAATCTTCAGCGGATCGCCTTCAAGGAGGCGAGCATCAGCAGGAATAATGTCACCGAGCTTGACACTAATTATATCACCAGGAACAAGAACTGATGCTTCCTCCTCAACCCACTTCCCATCTCTAAGAACCTTTAAGTAGTGAACATAATTAAGATACTAACACTATTCAGCTATAAAAGTTCATGGTTTATATCAATATGGAACATAGTAAGAACCTTAGCTTTCGGTGCAAGACGAGCCATGAGCGCAGCTGCGGCGTTTCCAGCATTGTTCTCCTCAATAAAACTAATAGTTGAATTGATAAGCAACAAGGTTATGATCCCAACAAAGTCTTGCCAATCTGGAGGTTTTCCCTGCGAAACACGTCGTTCTTAGCCATCGAAAAATACGTTTAACAACTAACCATCATCAGGAAAGTTCAAGAGATTATGATCTTTTCACTAACTGAGTTATTTGAAAGATGCATCTTCTTTTCTATACCAAAATTATTGACTATTTGCTCAGAAATGGAAGTGAAAAACAAAAAATACAAACAGAAGTAGATACTTCTTTAGATCAGAGACTAAGAACTCACTCCTCCATTGGCTAGAGCAATAGCCATTATAGCTGCAGCTTCCATGACCCATGAAAGAGGGTTCCACATAAATCCCAAGAACTTCAAAACCTTACTCTCCTGCAACAAAAATACCACAGAATCAACGTGGAAATCACCAGAGCTATACTTTAACAGAGAATTCAAATATATGATAGAATTAAAAACAGAGGAGAGTTATATCTTATTCTTTCCAGCATCACAAAACGAAACAGAGAAGGAATTAAGCTGAGAGTAGTGAAGAGAAAAACCTTCTTTTCTTCAAGCTTATTGTAGCCAAAGATGGCCAATCTCTCACGAGCCGCCTCTGTTGTCAAACCATTAGTATTACACCTCAAAGTCTGAAAAACCTCTTCAACCGGCACGTTCTCCTACAAGTTCAAGAAGCTCAATAATCACCAAGAACAAAAACCCAGAAAAAAACAGAAGAAAAACCCATATAGAAAGAGATTAAAAGTACCAAATCAACAGCTTCTTTCAGAACAGCCTCCAAAACTTCATCCTTATCCCCCATCTTCAAGCTTCAACAGAGAAAAGGGCGAAGAAAATGAAGTGAAAACACCTGAAAATGCAAGAAGAAAACAGGGGAAGAGGGAAGGTGAGCCTTAGAAGAAGTTTTTGGTGTCTCTGAATTTCACTCTGCTCGAAGGGTGTATAAAGCTGGCAGCTTTTTGGCGTGGCATAGAAGCGGACGCTCTAAGAAGATTATGTACTTGCGGGTACATTTGGTCTCCATGAAAATTCCACCTTTTTGAAGAACCATTACTTGCATTACATTACATTGGAGTGTACAAGTTTGTTGTACAGGTGTTTCGGTGTTGGTGACTGCGCTCCCACTTTTGTTAAGTCATCCCATCACACAACTCTCTCTATATTTCTATGAATCCATTTTAAAAAAATGGTCAATTTTGAAAGGAGGAATGGGTTTTGTCCCAATTTCTTCGATAATTAAACTCATACCAAACTTGCTCACTTCAAGTAATTGTGTTTAAAGACGTTTGGGTTTATTATATAATAATAGAAATCTTGTTTTTAAGTTCATAGATATAATATGATTATAGTTTAAATCTTTAAGTTTGGTATTATTGAACTAAAAAAAATGATATGATAGAGATTTGTGTTTCTAATTTTTTTAAATGACGTACAATCATAAAAAACTCCTTACCTTGGCACGTATGGTGAGTTTAAATTTTATCAATAATATCATCATTCATGAATAATGTTATCTTCTTGTAACGTAAGGTAACTTTATAGTTTTTCTTTCCTTGCCTTCTCTAGCTAAAATACCTTTGGACTCATCGTGGTTTGGTGGGAATCTTCCTAATTTTGAGCCTAACTTTCGATTGGCGAAGAAATTGTGATTGATTGTACAAGGGAATGATTGTCGGAAGTGCAATCAAGAAATGCAAGTGTGTGCATGCATTTTTGGTGAAGATTGAAAATCGAGTCAATTGGATCCGTCTATCTTGATTCAATTGGGCCAATTTAGTTCAATTCATTAGATTTGATTTTTTTTATAGCAAATTTCAATCGTGCTAATATTTTATATAATTTTAGGCCTAATGAGAATATTTTAGAGAATCTGGGATCATACCCAATAATATAAACTTGCATGCGAGGTCACTCATTGCATGTATATAAAATGAATCTACTTAGATCATGCCCTACACGATATAATCCCTGGTGACTAAGTGTGATGAGATATTGAAGTGTGTCTTATATGACAAAATACGACGAGATCACTCCCTCGAGATCAAGATTGAATGAATAAGATGGGTTCGTATTTTTATATAAACCTATAAAAATAGATTAGGTAGAGGGTTAAATGTGTATGTGGTTTTGTTTTTCCTCTCAACTTCTTCCCACCAACTTCTGTCTTTTTGTTATTTTTTTCATTTTTCCCCTCTTCACCTAAATTTATTTCTACAACATTGACAATATTTTTAGAATTAATTAAACTTTTCAAGTTTTAAATGTATTCAATATGTCATAATTATGAACCGTATCACATTAATTCATTGGTCAATAAAGCTAAGCTCTACCGTAGAAAATAATTTGGATTAATTAGACTATATTATCAAGTTTTTACCACAAATATTGACTCTTTCGACACTGCCACGAAATGCTCAATTTTTTTGTGTGGGACAAAATATTCTTTGCAAGCAAGTTCCAAGTTTGTTGAAATTATAAGGTCTCATTTGTTGAATCTCTAAGTTATTCAACCATTATATTTGAATAGGTATATCTTTTGGGACCCATTTTTGACTTGATTTTCGTCCCAATCGTCCCAACCTCACCTCACCGATCGATGCTCCACCTATCGTTTTAAAATTAAGAAGAAACACTATTTACATTATGAGCTCTTTTGGAGAAACTAAAAGCAAAGTTTTGAGAGCTTATACTAAAAGCAAATGATATCAAAACGATGATCTTATCTTAATTTAATCATGTTAATAGAATTCTCAAGTGTGAAGATCTATTTGGAGCAGAGCTGCGAAGCTCCAGTCATAGTGAAGATCTATCGGTGGTGGAACTCCATTGAACTAGTAGTACAGTTAAGAGAAGAAGAGTCGTGTAGAATAGTGTTGGACCGATAGATACTGTTTAAAGGAGGGCTTTTTAAGCATTTTTTATTCGGATAAATATCCTTCCACGAAGCTTGTCCCCTTGATACATAGACTTTGTCATTTTCTTTCATATGATAAGATTATATAAATAGACTATTACCTCAATTGAAAAAGAGTTGCCAACAAATGTCTGAAATTCAATATATGAATTTTAAAATAATGATTTAAAAAATATAAAAAATGAAATAATGTATTTTGAGATTTTTTCTTTTTAAGAATTAAATAAATTTGGAGCAGCCTGTGTGTATGTTATTTTCCTAATGCTTTGTCTAGAATCCCACGTGTCTAGCAGACCGAGTATCTAGAATCTTCCACTTTTTTAGTTGAGACAATTTTTCTTTTTTCTTTTTTTCTTTTTCTTTGAATTTTTCCTTTATGCCAAAGTTATGATTTAGATTGGATCCGAATTCCATTTTTGTTTTTCCTCTTTATTTTTATTCTATATTTTCGCTTATAATGTAGAAATATTTTATCTTAATTTTTTAATTCTTCTATAAAACTTTATTTGAAATCAAATTATAATTTCAATTATCTCACATAACCTTTACAAATATAATAAGAAATTGAAAATATTATTAAATAAAACTATACATTAGAGAGTAAAATAAAATTAATTTCATATAGTTTTTAAATATTCTTTTGTTATTTCAAGAGAAAAGTCTTTACATAAAAATTGAATTCAGCTTTCAAATTAGAACAAGTAAAACTAATTTCATAATTTACTTATTATGGTCAAAATGAAATACTTGAGTAAAAAAAAAATTAAGAAGAAAAGTAAATCTAAGTCTCTTTTTTCATGAAGAAGACCAAATGAATTACTCTTCAAGTGAAATCTACACTAAAGCCATTTTAATAATCATTGTCTTGATGAATATCATAAGTTATGTATTTAATAAAAAAAAAAAAAAAAAGCCTTTAGTTATGGCAACATGTGTATTAATTGAAAGTATTAAAGAATGAGTCATATTGCATTATAAGATTAAGAAAAAATTAAACGAAATTAAGAAAGAGGTAAGCTATTCATCAAAAAGGAAAAAAGAAAAACAAAAGTAGAGATTAGGTCGAATAAAAGGAGAACATTGGGATATTGGAATCATTAAAGTTAAATATTAATTAACTTTTTATTTTTATCATAATCAACTTTACTTTAAATGATAATTAAAACTATCATATAATTAACTGTTTCAATTGAATGGAATTTAATAAATATTGTCTTTTTCAAATAGTTGATGTATTCTTTCGCTATAGAATTTGAATATTGGTGTAGTGGGCCACAACAAATTTTTTTTTTTTAATTTATAAATTTAATAATTTCTAACCATACTAATAATATGAACATTCTTGACTTAGCCATAAAAACTTTAAAGTAAAATGTGATTAAATTAAAATAATTTTATATTGGATGACCTTCTATTTTTTATTTTTATTTTAATTATGTGAGTCTAAAAAAAAAAATATAATCAAACTTTAAAATTATATTATTGAATTTATTATTTTAACTTTCTTGAAAAGAAAAGAAGTAAAATGTTAGTATTTGTAACAGGTGGAGAAATTAGTGAAACTCTTATCTTGAAATTATAAAAAATTTCAACTAATTCGACACCTAAACAAGTTGAAAACTTCAAATAATCTTTCCTAAGCTCATTTGAAATCCCGACAAATAAGGGCCCAATAAAACGACCTCAACTAGTTAAACAAAATCAAACAATTGGGGGTGAAAATTGAATATTTATCTCTTTGAGGGGTCAAAACATGACAACAAATTCTTGCTAACTACTACCATACCAATACAATAAAGAAAACTTGAGGCTAAAAAGATACGCAATTGGACTAAATTGCAATGATCAAAACTTAAGTGCAGAAGAGAGACAGACAATGCATTAGATATAGTTATTTATTATTTCACCTGCAACCATATAAAATACTATTAAATGTAAAATATATGATAATTTTCCCATTAAATCTAGAGTCCTAGATTAACGATTACTTTTTTTTTCTAGCTATTACTTCCAATTTCTCTATTTTCTTTACCATTTAAAATATTTTTGTAGGCACTTAAATAGCCATATCAAGCAAAATCAAAATAGTATCGAGCAACTTTGAAATAGGCACCAAACACCATAATCTCTTTATCTTCTAGTTGGACCTTCATTGCTGTTGGATCGACACTTTTTTACCATAATCCAATCATTGCTTTTGCATTAAACAAACTCTAATTCTATAGGTTCTCTCCAATCTTTGTCACACAATAAGATGAAGAATAACTTCTCTGTTATCAATGAACTCTGACAGTAATTCCTTTCTGACAATCCAACTTTTGAATGGTATTTAAATGCTCAACAAAATAATTGGGTCTGGGTCTATTATAAGAAGATGCCCATTAGTGAAGGGTAATTTTTACCTTAATGGGCACAAGAAATGAAACTATATATTCAGGTCGTGTCCTCTCCTGCTGTAAAATCTTTAAGAAATCTTTTTCTCCTTCTAGGTAGTCTCTAGACCACACTCAACAACCCACTTAGATTGGCATCTTTAGGTAAGTACTCCACCACCTTAACAAGATTCATACTTCTCATTCACACATTATAATTGTTCCTTTTTTCTGGACAAAGAGCATACTATCTACCCAAGTGGGTTGGCCTCAGGTAGTTGATTGCTTCAACCATCACCATAAACTGAAAAAAAGCCTAAAGAAAAGCTAAGAGAGGTTAGATACTAAGCTTAAATCCAACAAAAGCCTTGAGTTGGTAGATCCTTGATAATGAATAGCGCATATTCTTGTTCCAAAATCCTCTCAATCGTAATGGAGCAACGTGTAAAATGGGTTATAGGGGACCCATCGTTGAGCAAGTTGGTGCTATGCAACTTCACCTAATAAATTCAACTCAAGTTATACTAATATTGACTGATGAAGGTTATACCTTGTGCATATCCACGAGAAAAGAAACAGAAGAAAAGAAGGTTATCTCGTGCATGGATAGATGCCCAGAGTGCTAAATTTATCCTGAACCACGTAAGAAATTGAATCAATACACTAAACATAACAAATGAGAATTTCAGAGGAAAGTAAAAGGCCAAGAAACACAAACTTCTTTTAAAAGAAAACATCATTGTTTACAGTGACTGACATACGGAGGGTAGGTGAAAGATGGGTTAGACTACCTGTCTGTTATGGTCGGGTTCAACAAGCTTCTTTTGTTGTTGAACCCTATA